CTTCTTTGCTATCAGCTGCTGAAGAGCTCCTAATGATGCCAGCCATCTACCTCCTGAATATCGTCATACTCACTTAGTAGCTGACTCCCATCATCGAGAGTTCCACAAAGCACAAAGCAAGCAGCATTCGAGCATCGAAGAATACATAGGACTCCCTATCTGTGATAACTCCACCTTCTCGGCTCATCCTCGGAAGTACCACTGAACTCTGTAACTCTACCCCTCGTGTGTTCTAACTGGATACTCTCACTCATCACATACTCAAAAGCATAACACATATAACAACAAATCCTAGGCTAAGGCATCACAAATCAGGCCACTCTAGTCCTAAGATATGAAATACCTAGCCTGTCTCTAGCATGCAATAATATCTCATAAAGTGCATCATAGATTTTTCATAACACAAAAGTAAGGGTATTTTGGGAAATCACCGTTTGGCTCTGGCTGATTGTACACACTGCTCTTTCTTGCTTTCTCTTGAACTCTTATTCACTTTTAGAAAACTATTTATTTGAAACTTTTTCCTACTTCCTCAGTTTGAGTCCAGATTTACCCGAAGGCGCATCCGAATCCCTCAAACCAAGGCTCTGATACCAATTTGTAACACCGTAAATTTCAAGACAAAATTTTCATTTAAAATAATCATTTTAATGTTAGAACACTTGTTTAAAATCTCATTCATAGTTGAATTACAAAACATAGTTTCATTTTCACTTGAATAGAAAACCAGGATCCTCCAAAATATAACTCTTTCTCTGGTGTGTACAATCGAGCCGGTGCCGTCCCGTGTTACTGAAAGAAACCTGAACCAACATAACACAAAACACTGTAAGCACGAAGCTTAGTGAGTTCCCTAATATACAACTTACGCATATACGCCTTTCCAGGCCCTGACCTTCCGGTCCACAACACAACGCCTTCCGGCCCATAACATAATCGCCTTCCGGCCCATAACGTATTCGCCTTCCGACCCATAACATATTGCCTTCCAGCCCATAACATATTGCCTTCCGGCCCATAAAACATACACAGCACATATAACAATTAACTTACCACATATAGCACATATATCACATATCATATCCGACCTTCCGGTCACACAGTCAAACCCTTCCGGGTACAGTATAGTGAGAAGACTCACCTCGTGGATACTGAAAGTTAGCAACTCCTGAAATCACTCGTACTTGATCCGCCAAGCTACAAACTCCCTATAACATCATATATCTCTTATTAACACTTTTATCTTCCAAGTTAACTGACCCTAAGAAATCACACATAGGTCAACTCTGGTCAACGGTCCACGGTCAACTCGACCAGACTCGGCGAGTACTCTGGCGACTCTGCGAGTCTAGTCGTCCTCCAATCCTCTAAGGTTTCCCTTCTACTCGTCGAGTATCCTCCTTGACCCGACGAGTTACTCCTGGAAGAATCGCGGGGCCACCCCGACTCCACTCGCCGAGTCTGAGGAACAGCTCGACGAGTCCCGGGTTATTCTTCAAGCTACTCGCCGAGTCTGCTCATCTGACTCGGCGAGTCCATGCCATGCAGCTGCTCAAACTGCTTCCTAAGGTCAGAACTACTCCGACCATTCATAGGTCTGGCCTTCCTAGACTGGTCCATTACGTAAGGTCCTCATTTCGGTGCTCATGCTACACCCCAAGACTTATAATTTACATGTTGACCTAAGGCATAAGGATTTCAATCCAAAACCTTCATCAATTCTCGAAATGCACAGGCATGGGACATTCTGGACCTCCCCAAGGTCCCAACCCGGGGTTACAATCGTTTGGGGAACTAGGGTAACATTCAATCTATCCACAAAAGGGTTCCATAAACCCTAATCCTCTAAACACATCACCATAGTAGAGTATACTCGAATTCTTACCTGGATGATGTACTCTCTGTGTCCCCAATTCTCAGAACGTGACTCCATAGCTGTTCCTTTAGTCAAGCCCTTCTCTTCCTTGCACAACAACTCCTTCAAAATCACCAATGGCCTTTAACCTTGCTCCAGATGCACACAATCGGTTTAGGGTTCCTCTCAGAAGGCTAAAACGAACAATGACGGCCAATAAGTCCCTTTTATACGTCCCAAACCTGAACGGCTAGGGTTTTCGCTAAACAGCGCAGACTCGCCGAGTCCCTATCTGGACTCGTCGAGTCCAGTCGCGAACCCGCGACCAGGTCTGCGATCCTACTCGGCGAGCCTGGGCTCCAACTCGCCGAGTCCCCTCTTAAAACACCCCAAAAATATAATTTTAACAATACCTAAGATTCCGGGCTGTTATAGGTTGATATACTTGATTCACTATAAACAATGTTCTGATACCAATCTGTCACACCCCAAAACCGAGAATGGCGGAATACGTTTTGGGGTGGAGGACGTCATGTACAGTATCATAACAATTCATAATAGTAAAATCAAGAAACAACATCCATTTCATTAATATAACGATTGTAATACATGTGTGTTCTGTGTAATAGACACTAAAAATATAATCAAAATAAAAGATGCATATTATATGTGCTCCATCTTCTCAAAAGTTGCATCAGTACTTGTTTATTGTTGACCAGAAAATACAAGTTATTTTGAAAGCGAGTATCAGCATAAAGCTGGTGAGTTCATAAGTATTTAGTGTCATTGCTTGTAGAAAATTGTTTACAATAATGTAGTGAAATGATTGTTATCAAAATTTGAAAGTAGTTTGATTCCTAGAAAATCCCATATTTTCCAGCAAAAGTAGTATTTTACCAAGATTGGGTTATTAGTAAGTTCGTTTCTTTGAAAATGTAATAGTCTTCTCGTGAAAATATCAGTAATGAAAATATAGTTTTAACTCGTTCATTTTAGAGAAGGAATGGAGTTTCACCCCGGCAGCATCCCTGCCGGTTAAATGTAATAGTGAATGTAAACTCCAGATATTATTAATTTTGTATGCACCTCGGGATGTGTGTTTAATTAAAGTTTGAATGTGAGCTCATATGAAATCATACTGAGTGATAGTAGTACAGCGGCCGACCCTCCAGGTCACCAATAGTGTACTAGTGTTGTCATCCCTGGGCCAAAAGGTTCAGATTGTGGCTAGCAGTCGGGATGGGGGTCGCTCTCCTTCCAGGACGCGATGGTTACCCGACAGTTTTATAGCAAAGTGTCGTATAGAGAAATAGTGCATCACATTCCATTGTAGTATTTTCTTTCATATAGTATATAATATTCTCATAGTGTACTATGTAATGTTCTCTTGACGTGGTTTATAGTGTTTCTTCATATAGTGGATAGTGTTACCTTAGTTTAGTATAGTATATAGCGTTCTTTTCACATAGTGTATTGTACATATAGTCTTGTAATTGTACTGACCATAGTGTGTATTATAGTAGCATCAATAATGAACAATAATCCTGAACTATACCTATTATAGTTAAATAGAGTACTTAATTGAGTGTTTTTGATATGACGGAGTATCGAAATAGAGTGGAAACTTTTATATCTAACACAAATATACAAGATATATAACTAAGTATTAAATGACAGTCGGACAGATAACCTAACACCCTAAGTCCACAATCAAACAAGAACAAGAAATAAGGTCAGTTATCAGTTCTAAGTCCTTCAATACTTACTTATATAAGTATATTGGCGTAGATATGATTTGGTAATAATTTAAGGTTTGAAAACATTGAAAATTAGTTTATGAGACAATTGATTCGTGAAAATGAGGTTGATAAACATTTGAAATAATTTTACTGACAAAATACTTTAAAAATGTAAAAATCCTTTTGATAGTAAGTCTTAAATCACGTGTGATTGATTCTGCAATGTATTGGATTCAACTTGTATCCCCCCCCCCCCCCCATAAAAGCAATTAAAAACATTTGAAAGGTTAATTAAGGGGTATGAACTCACCGTTTGACGTAGGGTTCAAGTGTGCTATTGATATGAGCGTCGAGTGTCAACGGATGCTCTGAACGCAAGTAGCCCCTATTAATCATATGGTGACACATATATACGTTAGAGCTAGGGTGTTTCATGACTAAAAATGATGGGAAATTACCCTAAGGTCTTGGAATCACTAGGACTAAGTGTCCCGTGTTCTATACTCAATGATCTATGCATGTTTAAGGAAAAATATGAGTATAAGGGTGGGTGTATAACCATAAAAGTGAGTGTGCGGTTTGGGAATGCGGCCAGACTTGTGTGTGAGGCTGCACACTAGAGTGTGCGGCCGTACAGGGTGTGTGTGCGGCCATACACATGGGTGTGCTGTTGTACACTCCTTGTTTGAGTTCTATGTGTCGATTGTGTGGCCATACTCTCACTTTGGAGGGTGTTTTGAATGTGTGCGGCCACCTGATGAAGGTGTGCATCCGCATTCCTTCAAGGAGTGAAGAACATGAAGCACACTATGAGTTTTGGGCTTGGATTCAAGTGTTTTACCTCTATTACAAGCTGAAAGATGATGTTCTTCACGTTTTGGAGGCCTTCTAAGTGTTCTTGGGTGATGTTTTTGGAGAGAGAAAGTAGAGAGAGGAAGAGAGTGTAGCCAAAAGTGAATGGAAAGGCGTCTTAGACTATATATAGGGTCGGGTGTGAGGCTGGAGGGGGTTTGCGGTTGGATGTGCGGCTGGCTGGCCGCACATACTAGTGTGCGGCCGCACACACCTCTCTTGGTGTGTTTGGCTGGATTTTGCGATGCAACACCCTTCCTAAGGCCCATATCTATGATATACTAAACCTAAACCGTTCGTGCGGATCCAACATTCCGCTAAAAGATGCTAAATTAAAATGAATGATAGATATATGGATTGATTGCACAGTGTAGAAATGTCGGGTTGTCACACCTCGAAACTTAATAGAGCCAACCAACTAGATCAACTCATATCTCTTCGATTTAAGCATACCTAGGAAGAAGTTGAGCAGAGATACAAATACAACCTTGATCACCACATCCCCACCATCTCTACAATGCTCAAAATTAATGACAACATGATTTCTGCTAGCAATGAACTCATCAAACAGAATCATGTCCGGAATGAAAAATAATCAAATATTGGAAAAGGATATCCATCAAAAATATGGTATGAACATGATAATGCGAGAAGTTCTGATCAAGGTCATGCAGTCTTCCCAACACTTTGTGGACATTCTAAATTACAAGTTCGATGAAGTCCTTTTGATCATGGATGAAACTCTTGACACTCTCACAGCTCAGGCTCCGACTGTTGATGCCTATGACAAGATCTATAAGCAAATCAATCTGAGCTTCCAACGAGTATTTGAAAAGATTGATGAATTGAAGCTTAATGCATTGCTTGCATCGAAAGCATGCAAGAGGGGAAGAAAGGATGTTTCAAAAGAAACCAAGCTCAGAATTTCAACTTTGAGATGAAATAACAGATAAAGACGAACTCATACTAACTAGATAAAATAAAGAAAATTAAGAAGGTGAAGGAATGAAAAGAGAAAGTGATAATAACACTGATTTGGTGAAAGCTGTGCTTTCCCTACCATCCATCAGAAAACAACCCTCAATAATTATTCCAGACAAAGAGAAGAAAAAACGATCCTCTGCTGCTTATCCATCCAATCTTACAGAATCATTTAAACGAAACAAATATCTGGGAAAGTTAAAAAAAAAAAAAGCTCACTGTTGACGCATTCCGAGCAACTCAACATATTATTTATCTAAAATACATATTAAATATTAAAGTATATATATTTTAAGGGTGTGGTGTTAATAAGATAACATTAAGGCCATGTCAAACACATATACCTCCTCGATGATAGTGTGGTTTCAAGTCTTACGAAAATATTCTAAGGTATATGTATGCCTTCGATGGTTGTACAACGTAAAATACATCAAATTATGTATCTATACATTAAAAACACATATTATGTTTTTTAAAGAGTCAAAATAAGTTTAATGATAAAGCAGGTAGATTAAATATATATAAAACCTCAAGTTACAAATCATTATCATTATCTTCCAAACTCTAACGCCTAGGAAGAATTGTGGTAAAATATTTTGATTAATTTTATTTATCTTACGTGCATGGTAAAATGTAGGTGTTATCATTTGTACCCTCACGTTCATATAGAAAGTCAAATACATACACTCACCTACTTAGAGAGAGGGATATACTAAAAAATGATATAGACATAAAATAAAGGGTAAATACAATAAAAGTCACTAAATTTACACGAATATTTGATTTTGATACTATGTTATTTTATTCTCAAATTAGACATTACGTTTCCAATTTGTTACAATTCTGATCATTTGACTGATGAATCTGGTTGACTGCTGACATGACATGATGACGTTTCAGTTTTGATAACATGACATGTTGATGTTTTAAAATTGAAAAACAAATTACACAAAAGATAATAAGTTTTCATTTTTTTTTTCTATTGTGACACGATATTTTTTTTTTCAATTTTGACAATCCATTTTTTTTTTCCAAATTGAACATTAGTTTTTTTTACCAATCTTGTTCATTGTTGACCATTTTACATTTGATATATATATATATATATATATATATATATATATATATATATATATATATATATATATATATATATATATATATATATATATCATTTAAAACCACTTTATTTTTTTTAAATACAAGATGTTTTACATTTAGATCATAATGTTATGTATAAATATGTATTAAATATATTATAACCATATTTATTGTAAATACACAACTTTGAAATGAGTTTAGAGATGTGGAATGCACATTAATATAAACTAATATGATCTCGAAAACATTAGGATCTGATTTCGCTTTATATATTCATGATTTTTTTGTTCTTATAGATACAATTCTAGATTTGTTGAAAAAAATTATAACATCCTAATAATATATGTCAAATACAATTATAATATAATTAATACATATTTATTTTATTATCTATAAAATTGATGTATCTTAATTAAATTATCTTCTTATTGTTTCAAGTAGACATTTTAACTATTATACCATATTTATTATGTATTTATATAAAATTTACATGTTTCCAAAATAGGACACTTATTATTTAGTGAAACTTTTATCTTTCATTTATTTTCTTATATATACCTCTCGATTTTGATTATATTCATTCTAAATTTATTTACTTCTGTCAATAACTACATAAAAAATATAGTCAAACATAAATTTAATCAAATTATCAGTGAAAACCATTTTACATTTCTTAACCAACTGGACCAAGTATAATTTTTGTCTCATGTTTACTTTTATTTTATTTAATAATTGTAACATGTTAAATCTTCAAATTTTAAGATGTTGGAAATTTTTTCCAACAAATCAAGAAATATATTATGTATTAAAAATACGGTTATAATATAATTAATAAATATTTATACATATCATTATGGTTTGAAGGTTATTTACAGAAAAGCCTCAAATTTTTTTTCAAAATTTTCAATAAAGTTTAAAATTTTTTTTTTAACAGAAACGTCCAAATATTTTGACATTTTGCCTAAATTAATGATTTTTTTTATCAGGGCCGGTCCTGAGGATTCAAATACCCAGGACGAGGCGAATAAAAAAGGCCCTTAGACCTTAACATGTAACGAATTAAATTTCATAAACTAAATTTTTATTAAAAGGACAATAAACTTATATCAATAAACATAGCAAAATCATAGTCGTCGACTCGCTGGAATGTTGGATTAAGCGCCAAACTTGAATAATCAATCGCAATTGGCCAATCGCTTTTGCCTTCTTTTTGCCATTTGTTGTTTGCGTGCGTCCCAAACTCAATTTATTGATCAATTAATTACAAATGTGGACCGGACAAGTTGATTTATGGCCTAATTACAAATGAAGGTAATTCCTATTTGTTTTTTTGCGGCCTGCACAATTTTACATTCATAGGCTACTCTCAATATAGTTAAAAAAAAATGGGCCCCATAAAAGAATGGGTCCTGTGCCTTAGTCCTGCTTGCTCCTGGTCTTCACCGGCACTGTTTTTTATATTGGAACAAAAAATGATATATTATATGATTTTTTTCAAGATATTAAGATTTTTCTGTTAAAAAAAAACTTTTAGTACTTTATTAAAACTTTTAAAAAAAGTTTGAAATTTTTCTAAGGATAACTCGTGGTTTGAATATAAAAATTGTTTTATTTATATAAAAATACTTTTCAACTGAAACAAATGTATTTATATGGTTTGAATCGGAAAAGAATTATTTATATGGTTTCAAATAAAACAAAAATTTTAAACAAAAAAATAAAATGTCTCGTCGTTAATAATGAATAAAATTGAAATAAATGATGATCATTTGGAGACAAAAAAAAATTAGGTGTCAATATTGAAAAAAAAAAGAACTTAGTTTCAAAATTGAGAAAAAAAAAAAGATTTAATGTTTATTGTGACTTTTTTTATTTAAATTTTGACACAAGTTTATATCATTAAAACTATACTTTATCATTTTATCATTTTAAGTTAACAGTTAATTGAATTGACTGGTCAACTTAACAAAATAAAAAACAATGTTAAATTTAAAACAAAAAATATTAAAATTACTGACTTTTTGGTATTTACAATTCAAGTAAACCTAAAATATTTTGATTACTTTTCTAAGTCGTGAAATAAATAAATAAATAAACCGTTGTTAAATAGCATATTGCGATTATAGCAGTGAATTACTATTTAGGCAATAAAGCGTATGAGATGAAAGATGCGTCCATAACTAAAAATCAAAACCCTTCCCAAAGGGGAAACCTTCGCTCCTTGCCTTTCCAAATTCCGTAAGAATGGGAACGCCCAACAATCCAGGAGAAGAACAGGAGACTCTGCCTTGCGATTATTGCCACAATCAGATTGCTCTTCTCTTCTGCCGTGCTGATTCCGCTAAACTCTGCTTGTTCTGCGACAACCAGGTTCACGCCGCCAATGCCCTGTCCGGTAAACACCTCCGCTCACAGATCTGCGACGGCTGCAGATCCGCACCTGTCTCCTTCCGCTGCTCCACGGACAACCTCCTCCTATGCCGGGAATGTGACTGGGATGCTCACGGTCTCTGCTCTGCCTCCGCCTTACACGATCGGACCCCCATTGAGGGGTTTACTGGATGCCCATCGCCTCTTGAGCTCGCCTCCACCTGGGGATTTGATTTGAACCATTACCACACAAAACCCACCAACAACCCACTTCACGATTCGGGTCATTGGGAATATCCGTTGGCCGACCCGAACTCGTGGATGCAAGAGGTGATGGTGCCTGAGTCTGACGAGAGTGATGTGTTTAAGAAGTCGACTTTTAGCTTTGAGAAGCAAAAAAATGTAATTTTGAAACAATTGACCGAGCTTTCCAAGAGAAGCGTATTCTCATCCGATGGTAATGGTGGAAGAGGACAGCAGCAGAAGGAGGAGGAGGTACCGTTTACATCTTTGCTGATGATGAAGCAGGGTCGGGTTGATGTGGATCGGATAGACGATCAAACTTTGCAACACAGCATGCTTTGGAACTCCATACCCGGAGACCGACGAGGCACTCAGGTTATATCTCTTGAATTGAATGAATAATTCAATTAATTACAAAGGATGAAAGAATACCTTACAATTTAAAACGTGTAAAGTTTTAGTTTTTAATATAAAGATTTGCGTGTTTGTTTCCTGCAGATATGGGATTTTGATATGGAGCGATCGGCTAGTCCAGATAGAAATAATGGAGGATTTATGAGTGAAGATCACAAGACAGGAACAGGATTAGCGATGAATGTAAGCCATTTTCCAATTTTGTGTCAGTTTGGATTTTTCTTCAAGGCATATAAATATTATTAACCATCATAATATTGAATTGCTTAGCTCAAAATCCAGAACAGCTCCAAATCATGTTTTGGAACACAAAAGGGATACGATATTGGTATTGGTGGTTCAGATGATATAGAGATTTTGGCAAGGAACAGAGGCAATGCGATGCTTCGTTATCTGGAGAAGAAGAAATCCAGAAGGTACTTTTGATAAATTTCTAGCTATATATATATATATATATATATATATATATATATATATATATATATATATATATATATATCAGTGTTGTAAAAATCCCGATTAATCTTTAGGCGCTACTCGACCGATTAGAGAGCGCCTATCGATTAATCCATGCCTACAAAATGACTGAAACAGTAGAACCCGATGAAATTTTAACACTTTGAAGAAGTTATATATCAATAGAAACTATTTGATGTATAATTAGTATTGTATTTATCATATTAACCTATTTTGTTATGATATTAGTGGTATTTATGAACTTTTATATGATATTAGTCATATTTAATTTTTTAAAATCTAACAAATTAGCAATTAATGGTCCCCGATTAATCCCCGGTTAATCTCCGTCTAGCCGATTAATCCCTTAACCCCA